GGAGATCATTATGTTAACGGAAATAAGTCAGGTACAGAGAGATAAGCACTGCATGATCTCATATACATTGGGAATCTGAAAAAGGTGATCTTACAGAAGTTGAGAATGTTGGTTACCAGAGACTGCAACAAGTAGCCAGTGACAGCAGATGGAGGAAATATGATCAGTAGATAGTAATTTATAATTAGATCGGAACAAGAAGCTGTGGAATACTATTGCAACGTAACTATGTTTAGTATAGATAACAATTATGTATTATACATTTCAAAACCTATTGGAAAGGATTTTAAAAGTTTTTACAATGAAGAAATGATAAAGGTTTGAGGCCATAAATATATTTAACCTAATTTAAACATTAAGTAATATATATCATAAGTTAGATTGTTCCCCATCAGTATGTAAAATTTTTATATTTTTGTTCATTACCTAAAAATAAATAAGCAAAGACAAAGTTTCACAGAATCAATAAACAAACAAAGACAAAATATCTGATAGTATAGAGGTGAGGAATTTTTCTCAGGTAAGAAAAAGACTACATTGTAATTCAGTATAAGAAAAAGTTATCTAAAAGAAAGCAAAGAAATACCATTATAAACTAAATTTTATATAATGGAGCAATAATTTGTTAAAGCAATGACTACAATTCCATTTTGAGAAGAAAGCCCCAGAGCACCATCTTCCAGAATGGCAACAGCCTAAGGAAGTTGTTCCTCTGGATTTGGTTCATAAACACTGCACTTCTATAGCCAAGAGAGAAGGAACCCTAGCTACTGCTTCACCTGGCACCAGACCTTGGCATCATTCAGGTGATGCTGGTTTTAGATGCATGCAAAATGCATGAGTTGTGGGGTCAGGAGGGCTTCCACCCAGAATTCAGAAGAAGGCCTGGGAAGTCAGGTAGTGTGGCCCTGAAAGGGGAGTGTGTGAAGCTGTGTGAAGTTGTGTGAAGCCTTAGGTGCAGTGGAGACTGCAAAGTTTTTGAGAAGACAGGAACATGGATCATCTGAAGAAAACTGCAAAGAGGGAGCAGAGATGGCCCCAGCGAGAAGCCATGGGAGCTACAACCACCAGAAATACTGCAGGGCCAGGGTCACAGAAGTCCTTTGGAATTCATATCCAGCCACAGACTGCTTCAGAATCTGAACATGGAACTACAGGAATTAATGTTTATCTTGCTGAATTTTGGACTTACTTTGGTCCCATTCCTTTGTATCCCTCTCTTTCTACCTTTGGAATGGTAATGTCTTTCTTGTGCCATTGCATGTTGGAAGTGTTTAACTTCCTTTTCATTTGTACAGGAGCTCGGAGCTAAGAGTTTGCCTTAAATCTCAGAGGAGACATTGGACTTGAACTTTTCATCAATGCTGAAAATATTAGGACTTTGGCAGCTCTTGGGGATGGACTAAGTGCCTCTTGCATGAGAGATGTGTATGAGTCTTTGGGTATCCAGGGGTGAAATATTATGAGTTTTATCTAGATGTCAAAGCCTCATTTGGTCACAGGTGGGACTTTTTCCGAGGTGGCTGAATCTAGAGTGTGTGATGCTGCAATTGATTCACGGTGCAATGCTAGGCCCAAGGGCAGTAGGATTAAGGGTTTGAATGCTACTCAGTCTAAGTAGCCTGCATAAAATATAAGGGCTAGAAAGAGCTGTGGTCATCCCTTGCTTGCTTTGCTACCTGCCTGCCATGAATGATTTCTCTTCACTGCCCATCTGCCAGGTTCCCCTGCCTTGGAGCCAGCCAATTATGGACTGCAACCTCTACAAACTGCAAGCTAAATAAACTTTTATCCTTTTAACTTTGGGTATTGGGTGAGGAAAGTAACTAATATGGGGTTAATCATCAGCTGAACACTTTATATAAAGTTTTTTAGTATTTAAATCACAGACAATATTGGCATTTCCACACATCTTATTAGAAACACAGAATCTTACATTTATGAAATCAAAACCTAAATTTTAGCAAGATCTCTACAATTTATTTGCACCATAAAGTTTTAAATGCACTTTGTATAAAGTTTATAAAAATACTCTTTAGGGGCTGGGGATTTAGCTCAGTGGTTCTGCCACCTGCCTTTACAAGCACAGGACCCGAGTTTGATCCCCAGTACCCAAAAAAAAAATACTCTTTAAATCTGAGGGTATAATTTGTCACAGAGTGCTTGCCTAGCATGCATGAGGCCCTGGGTTCAATCCTTAGTACCATAAAACAAACAAACAGAAATAGAATACACCAAAAATCCCTTCATACTACCAAGCAAAGTATTGACAAAACAACTTTAAAACTGCAGAAAGCCTCATAGAATGGGTAAAGAAAACTTCAAATTAACAGGAATTTGATGGGATTTATTCATAAATTAAGCATGACAATATTCATAGAAATCTTTGCCCAAATAATTTAAAAAGCTTTTTCTATAAGCTCTATTTAAGTAATGAAAATATTGTAATGATAAGAGAATTGTGCTATAGTTTATTTGAAAACATTTTTTCTTTGTAGTACATAAAATCACAATGTATCTTACCATATATGAAACAGTGAATTTGATGAAATACAAACATTGATACCAGTTCAATGTCACAACTCATTATAAACCATGATCATTATGACTCTTATTCATATAGATCTGTGCATTTGAAATAACAATTATAAAATATTTAATTTGTATAACTTAATAATTACTTAATTTATCGGTACCTCATATATTATTCTCTGCAGACATATTTCAACTTTATTAAAGTTTCTGTGATGAAGAAAAATTGTATATATTTAAGATGTGCAACTTGACATTTGATATGCATAAACATGGTTATTGAAATGAAGCTAATTAAAATATCCATCTCTTTATATCCTTATTGTTTTTTTGGTGTGTGTTGAGAGAAATTAAAATCAGTTATTTTAGTATAGTTCAAATATACAGTGCAATACTGATCAATCAATAGTGCAATACAATCAACACACTACATTAGATCACTATAAATTCTTCAGTGGTATAAATGAAACTTTGATTCTCTTGGTGAATGACTGTTTATATAAGAAGAAGAATTGATAAACATATCAGCCAATTTTACTTTCATGCTACATTAAAAATGACAGTGGAAATTTACTCTAAGTAAACATAATAGCTGCATCAGTGGTAAATTAGTTCATTCTAACATTGACACATATAATGAATGTAAAATTAACATGTGTGAAAGGACTTTTTAACCACAAAAATAAAGCTTGAAAAAAGTTTTAAGATTCAGCACCTAAACACTTGCTTTTAGTTTAATATTTTAAATAATTTTAAATTTATATCTCATCTATATTTTCTTTGTTAGCATTTAGTGTAACAAAAAGAAAATTATGATTTAAAAGAAATTACTTTTTTCCAAAATGACACTGAGTAAGATAGTCATGGGTTATTCCAATTGGTGGTGACTATTGGACTGCCTTCACCCTATTTTTCCAAATTACTTCTTTATTGATGATAATAATTATCTTTATCATACATATTTTAGTCAGGTCAAATGATAATGAAGCTCATGGAAGTATTTGAATTTTGCTGCCACAATGGGAAGAGATATCTATGACTCCAGTTGGTTTTCTCACCCTTGTACATTTTTATTTTCTTATATGTGCAGTAGCTTTGTATCATAGATGCTTGATGAACTTTTTTCAAATAAATATATGCCGAACAAAGTTATAGTTTAGAATATGTACATTCTTATCTGCCTATATTGCAGAATATTTCATATGAGACTTTAGGCTATTTAAAAATGATTATGATCTCAACAGGCACACAATCAGTTTTGTTTATATGTTTTTATGTTTCACATTTTATTGGATTTTCTTTCTACTCATTCATAAGGAAACTACCTTTAACAAAGTTGCACTGTGTAATGTATTAGGTCATAAGTTCCAGGAGGTATCTGGTGCATTTAATTTTATGGAATTACTTTAATTTGCTTTTTGAATATTTTACATTAAAAAACAGCCTCAGGAATAAACTTTTATTTTTGCTCCATGTGCCCTATGGCTTTTTTCTGTAATATATAATCATGATGATTTAAAATTGCATGACAGAATGATAGGAGTGTTGACAAGTTCACAGGGAAACAATCTTCTGTATGTTAAATTTGGAATCACCTAAAGCACTGCACATTATTATTTATCCAAACATACTTTTTTGGATTGATTGCTTGAAAGGTGAAATCTGGACTTCTTTGGATTTGTAAGTAAAGTTAAAAGTTTTTCTCATACCATAAAGTCCTAAATTAATAACAGGCCTACTTCCTTACTAACCAGTGGGCTACTGAGATGAGACCATCCTAATTTCCTGAGAGCTTTATGAAAATACCAAGTCTCAGGATCCATCTTGGATCCTACAAATCTAAATATGACTTTTAACAAACATCCAGATGATATCTGTGTACATCACTGAGAATTGCTGGAAGCCCATTTCTTTGTTGACATCCAGAAAATCAAGACATTTTAAGGCCAGGATCCTGGCTCCTAAACCCTTTTTGAAAGGACTATGGCTTATACAATTCAAGTAGAATGAAAATCGTACATAACAAGATTTTAAAACAAAAAAATCTATTTTGCCGTCTTTAAAGCCCTGTAGACTCACAAGTATTCATGTAATTATAACATTTTGAGGTATATAATAATTACTTTTTCTAAACAAAGAATGAAAATTACATCCACTAAATGTGTTCATCTATCCCTGTTGTACCTAGTCCTTTATTGACAGTCTCGGGATGTTATTTAGCTGTCTTAGACTTGTAGAAATCATGCTGCTTTGTTCCCTGCAGAGTTAGAATAAAATATTAGTAATTATGCATATTTAATTTTCAAAAGGCCAAGTGATTACTCATAGCACTTATAAGAAAGAAAATGAGTTCAGATAAAACATTTCCTTGGTATAGGTTTTCAAAACTGAAGTTGTATTATTATGAATATTTCTTCTTATGATGAATAGGGTGAAAAATAACATTTTTCTTCTTTCCTCTTTTCCAGATGCAAGACAAAAGTCTACCCTGATGAACTTCCAAACACAAGTGTAGTCATTGTGTTTCACAATGAAGCATGGAGCACTCTCCTTAGAACTGTTTATAGTGTTATAAATCGTTCCCCACACTACCTACTCTCTGAGGTCATCTTGGTAGATGATGCCAGTGAAAGAGGTATGAAATATATTTCTTATACTTTTTAATTAGAAAGCTTTATTATGGCTAAAAGAGAGGTACAGTGATCTGTATTTTGCTTTCAATCAACCATCTATCTAATTTTCATCCATATGCCTTGCCAATCTCAACTCTAGGAACAATTATTCTTCTAGTTTTCCTCATCTTCATTTGACTCTAACTACCTTAAGAAATCACCTAAAATGACTTCCAAAATATTTTTTCCCAATTTAACTGGTCATATTTAAAATTTATATGACTAGATATGAGACTTTAATTAACTGATATAATTGGTATTTTCACATTACCTCATGAGAAAAAAGTGTTATGAGTTGGCCGCTATTTCTGTGTGTTGAATTTCTATCATGGAAGTAGCCAGTCTGCCTTAAAACTGTTTCAAATTTTTCTTGTTAATTCTTATTGCATGTTACAGATTTTCTCAAGTTCACACTAGAGAATTACGTGAAAAATTTAGAAGTTCCAGTCAAAATTATCAGGATGGAAGAGCGCTCAGGGTTAATACGTGCTCGTCTTCGAGGAGCAGCTGCTTCAAAAGGGCAGGTCATAACTTTTCTGGATGCACACTGTGAATGCACGTTAGGATGGCTGGAGCCCTTGCTGGCGAGAATAAAGGAAGACAGGTAGAAATTCATGTGTTATGTCTGCACAGGTTATGACAGAACCTGTAAGGCAATTCTAGCTGTTGATCAGAATTTCTCTTTCAAGCTTCTATTTTCAGAAGGTTTATTTTATAGGTTTCAAAAAGCAACTTTAGTATACAAAGGATTGCTTTCTTCTTGTTGAACTTGGGTATTTTATTAAGAAAAAATTAAGCAATTCAAACAATAAAAGTATGTTGAATATTGGCTCCTAGGTGGAGGAAATCAATCTAATCTGAAACAGTACACTATATTATAAAGGCACATTTTCAAAGCATTCTTTGTCCTCACAACCACACTTTGAGGTAGGTAATGTAGATTTTCTTATCATACCTAATAATAGAGAGAGACAAAAAAATTATATTCCTTGCCCCAGTTATTGAAAGTGCTGGGAATGATAATCCAGTTCTACCTACCTGCTCACCAGTGTTCTCTTGATTTCTTCAGTGCTATCACTCAGAGTATAGTTCAGATTCACCTTGAAAATCTTAAAAATAAACATGCACACAAACTCTCTCCACTAAAATAAAATAATGATTAGAAAAACAAGCAGAGAGCACAGCTGTTAAGTTTAATATTTTAAACAATACTTTCACTTTCTACATACAAATTGTGAAATTTGAAAAATTGAATAACACTTTGTAGAAATTAAGAACCCTAATACAGAAATGCAATTCTTTCTGGTGATGCAATGAAGCACAGGCTTTTTTTTGCACACCTTAATAAACACTGGGGATAAATGAGTATAATTTCTAAGCACCTAATGAAGATAACTAAAATTGAATGTTGTCCACTGTGTTAACAAAGGATTACATAACACTTTGCTTGCATAGTCATTTCATGTTCAGTAGATGAGTCTGTGTAGGATTGGAGTTTTTAATTAGACACTCAAGACAGGTACTCTTAGTCTGCGCTACTTCAGCCATATCACATAACTGGCAGGATTTGGTACTTGCCAGGAAGATAGATGGAGGCTGTCAGTACAGTGAACCACATCAGTTCAAGAAAGCAGTGGGAACCTTCTATTCATCTACATGTAATACACAACTAATGCTATTTTGTGTACTGTACGGTACCCACAGGAGAATAAGATTGACAAAGTAAACTTAGAACATCTTAAATACATTTTCTGACAACTTTTTGTACATTGTGCTATTTTTTAAACATATGTTTCACATTCATCTTAGGTTTTAATATAAGATTTTATTGTAGTCATGTGTTTGATACTTATTTATTCTAAAAATTTTCATGCATTATATTTGTATATAATAATCACCCCTTGTCCTGATTATAAATTCTAACATCGTCATAAATAGATAATAAATTCTGTCCAATGTCATAAGATCTAATTTCTTTATCCCACAAGTTAAATTATTAAATCTAAATAAAAAATAGATAATACTTTGTTAGGTCCAGAGTCACCAACAAACTTTCCCAAGAATAGATGAATCTTACTGATTTCAGAGTTCAGGCTTTGGCCAAATGTATTTAGTGGAGACACAGTTAACAATGATTGTTGATGATACATCACTAGTGTTAACAAAGAAGAAATAATAGTCAACATTTCTTTCCACATGTATGTGTGATTTGGAAGCATATGATTGATTTTACTTTCTGCCATATCTAAAAATCAAGCTCTGGCTCTTCAAAATTAGCTTCAATCGATGCAATATTGGGTAGACTTTAACATTTATTTGTGGCTATGGCAGAAGGTTGGTCTCACAGAAAAACACATAAGCTGGGAATAAGGGAAGAGAATGAAGGCACACCATGGATTAAAAGAGTGACATCTCCAAGTGAAATTTTCTCACTGTAAAAAGCTACTACCAAGAACATCATGCCTCTTACATTTCTTCTTACTTTAGGAAATAGAAAAAACATCAGAGTCTTAGACTGATTACTGTATCTTGCCCTATCTTACAATACTGTCTGGATTGTGACAACCGTGAACTCTTAATTCTAGAACAGTTTACTCTAAAATTGTCATGACTTGATTATCTTTCATAGAAAACATTTTCTTATACTGATAGATCATGTTTTTAATTGTTCCTACTTTTTATTCTAGTAGATTTTTTTCCTATGAAGATAGTTTTAGAACATTTCCTTTAAACTAACATACCCTATTTGACATGCAAACTATCAGATCTAATTTTCTGTCATTTATTCTCCCCTCTGTGCATGTTATTGGTTTTCAGTGGGTTGTAGCTAAAATGATGCATAATCTCAAAGCAGCTCTACTAATCAAGCTGTAGGTGGAGGTTTTATGAAAAATAGGCTATGCTCATCCTACTGAGTTAGTACTTAGAATGCGTTTGGAAATCAGTTTGAAGGTCAATTAGTATATTTGATTAGATTTCACATGTTAGAATAAGGAGAATGTATGAAAGATATAGTCAAATGAACTAATTTCATAGAGAAAAAAAGATGAAATAAAATTAAAGACATTTAAGTCACAAATAAATTAACATATTATCAGCTCTAATCAATTTGAAGAAGCTAAGGTTGCATTTAAATGATGACATATGTAAACTGGTTTTCATTTTTTTGCAGGAAAACAGTTGTATGCCCTATCATTGATGTGATTAGTGATGATACCTTCGAATATATGGCTGGGTCAGATATGACTTATGGAGGTTTTAACTGGAAACTCAATTTCCGCTGGTATCCTGTTCCACAAAGAGAAATGGATAGGAGGAAGGGAGATAGAACATTACCTGTAAGGTATGTAGATATCATCTTCCAAAAAGTGGTGTATGTATTCCTATAATAATTAAAGAATATTATAAATTTTGTTCTTCATTTGAATTATTTCAAGTCATACTTATATATATTATATATAATCAATGATATTTCCATATATAATAATAATGATATTAAATCCAGTTTAAATTAGCATAGAAAAACCTAAGTATTGATAGAAATCTCTAATATTTTTTGAAGCTTTATATATTATATATTCAAAACATATTTATTATGAATTTTCCATTTGACAAGAGTTTGCTAGCTTTAATACTTCAAATAAAAGTATCACTTAGCTAAAAGTGTATGCTTTATCACAGAAGTGTCCTCAAAATTGAAATAACTAAAAATGTTTGGTAAATATTGTAATTTCATTAACCTTAAAGAACTATCTTCCTTTAGATTAATAGGAAGATCTACTTGGAAAATTTAAAATATTAGCAGTTGTAAACATTTTATTATTTGTTTGAAATTACTTTAAATAGCTGCTTATTTTGAAATATTTATTAATAAAATATGTGCTTACCCTTAATAAAAAAATCATATGCTCGTTTATTTGTCTAGATAAGTGATATTTTATTAAAATTAAATATCACATTCTTACCTTACTATATTTTTGCAGACCTCTTACCTGTAACCAAAAATTGATTTCCTAAAACTGTTTTGGAGCCTATTCAGTAGTTTAGCTCTTTGAAGTTGAATATAGCAAGTCATTATTCTGTTAGAACAGGGTCATATCCTAAGATTCTAAAACAATTTACATATAATCCATTATCTAAACAAGATTTGTTCAGTAACCAACTGAGGATATGTTTTATCCATTATTAACTACTTAAATAATGAATTAATTAAAAATAAATTTTAAAACTACTTAGTGGAAGAAAATAGCCCTAATTGTTATTGAAGCTTTAAGTATTAAAAGCTGTCAAGTAGTTATCACTACCACATAGAAGAAATGAAATATTCCTCCTAACATTGTATAAAGACATATAAATTACTGTCAATATTTACAGCAAAATTTAGTAATTTTTAAATATTATACAATCTTCCCCTTTACCAAGTTCTGTTAATCCTTTTCACTGATACCTGAGGAAACATAGTGACTCATAATGCCATCATTAGATTTTTTTCTACTTCTTGGCTTCATTTAGTATTTCTGATGTTTAGTACACTTAAATATAGATAATCTGTATATTTATTTGAAAATTAAGTATATAAGAATGCATATTTGTGCTTATTTTTAAAAAATACATCTACAAAAGACATGTTATATTCAAATTAGATGTCTCAGGGAATTGAACAGTAATTAAGGCAGCCAACATTCATAGTAAGAAATTATTATCTCATTCATCAAAGAAAAATCTACATGGAAATCAACTATCATTAGTCATTTTTAACTGAAACAAATGATGACTCATCTAATTTGCTACCTTTTAATCACATTTTTGTGGTTTTATTGAAGTAACATGAGAAAGAATAATACCTCAGAATAATTTATTTATTAACCTCAGTATCAGCACATCATTTTATTTTCTAAAACACTGAAGAAACTGGAGCAAGAGAAATGAGAAACCTCAGTCTCTGCTGAAGTTTCTAAATTTTATGGCAAAAGGTTAATTAATTCACTGGCTCTGTTGTAACAGCCTGCAGGTAATTTTCATCAGCATAGATGTAATGTGAACTTTCCTTGTACTTGTAATCTATTACTTGAAGATGTGATCATTTTTCTCACATTTGTACAAACAGATAAATCATTCTGGGTGTTGGAGACATTTTTTTTCACTTGATTAACAGAATTTTGAATAGCTAAAGTGATTAAAATGAGGTTGAAATTTTTAGTTTACTTAGCAGAATGCTTCATTTAAAATGTCACTTTTGATGGAATTTTTTAGTCAGTATAATCTGTTAGTCATAATTTAGAAATACAATCATACATCTGCAAATATATTTTACCAACTTGAACTTGTGACCTAAACTCAGTTACACTACTTTTAAAGTACAGTTTATAAAGGTTACGCTTATTATTTTATTGTCAAGCTCTCAGCTTTGATATTTTCTTTTTCATAATAACTTTGTGAAATAGGGTTTGTGAATATAGAATAATAGCATATTAATCTTGAATATTTAGTTTTTTAATCAGTCTTTTGACACATTGGTAATCAAATTATATGAGTTTTCAGAAATACATAGTAGTAATCAAATTGTTGACCCTGAGATTATAATTAGGAGATTATGTCCCAAATATGCTCTGTAGCTGTGTTTTATTTGGCCTATATAGTACATATTTTGCATTTTCAAAAATTTTAAATGAATTGCTTTCATTAAAAATCTGGATTTCCAGATCCTGAAAAGTCAAAATAGATTGGTCAACTGGCCCAATAGTTCCACCTGGCACCATCATGTAGAGTTGAATAGAAAATACCCACGTAGAAGTCATGTGAAAGCTTTGTCCAAGTCCTTCTAATCCCTATAATTTTCTCTCTGACTCTGATCTAGATGGTTATTTGCTATTTGCCAGCATTCTTGTACTTGGGGAAGTATTTCTTGGCACCTGTGTTTCAATCAAAGTTGAGAGAAATAAATTTACTCCAACCAATTGACTTCTCATAATTAACTTTGTCTGGTTTTAACCTTAAATTTATGACCTCTGACTTAGAAGCTACTTCCTCGTAGCTAAGTTTGATTCTCATTAAACAGATTAACCCTGTATATATAAGTATAAATGTTACCTAAAGAAATAGGCAAGTAGCATCGAAATTATTCAATAATGCATATATCACTCCAAATCATTTAATTAATTTGTGCATGTATTGTGCATTTTCTAACATATACAAATCTGAGGTGATTTGGTTTAGACTATTGTGATAAATGTGATTCTATATGGAACTATACAGGCATATATCTTGATAAGTAAGGTGCTAGGTTCTGCACATATAAAAATGGATAAAGCAATCTCTGTTGTAAAATTGCTTACTATCTGGAAATGGCTGTGTATATGGGAAAGAGGGAAAGAGGAAAAGAGGACACAATATATGAAGTAAGTGTGGGTGAACTATGTCTACTAGAGTGGTGCATGTTTCTGGCTCAAGTCCTATTGATTCCACTAGTCTCTTAATTATTCACTGTAAGTGACCCTCAGTAAATAGTCATATGTTTGTTTCCACTTTAATTCATTACTGATTTTTTTATTAGAAACCCATTGGTTATTTTTATTATCTTTATTAGAAACTTATTGGTTATTTTTCAAGTCTGTTTAAAATTTTTTAGTCTCCACATCTTACCATATGGACTCCTTAAAATTTAGCTATTGTTAATATTCTTAATATGGGTAATTTTATCCTTAATTGGAATACTATGGTAAGTGTATTCCTAAAATAAGACTTTTAAATTTTCACTAATCATTGCTATCATATTAAATCAAACAGGTACTATTATTACCTAATATTCCTGATATTTTTAACTTATTTTTATATCCCTTTTTATTAACATTTGTCTGCCTGTAATCTCAGCACTTGAAAGGCTGAGGCAGGAGGAGTGCCCTGATTTCAGGCCAGCGGCCAGCCTGAAATACCTTGTCTAAAAGAAAATTTTTTTTGTCAGATCTCATACATCTATTTTTCACTTAATTATAATTAGGAATTTCTAAAGACTATTAAATAAATTAACATTGTCAATAACATCTTGGATTGTAACTGCTATGCCTTTATATCATGAAAAACAAAATATACACATGCAGCATCTCTGGATTTTTTATTCTGATGTATAGTCATAGAAAAAGCATTAAAGTTGGCTTTGGGTCAGTCAGGTTTTATTTCAAGTTCTCCTACTTGGTGAATTACCCACTCTTCTTAACTATAAAATGGAAAATTATTATCCTTGCCTTGTTTAGCTCATAAAGTATTGTGAAATCATAAATATATTGAGGAGGAATTGGACTTCAATTTCTTTCTAGATAAAGAAGCACATATTCCAAAACAAATGCGACAAATATCTAAGATCATAAAAAGTCTTTTATTATTATTTTAGTATTATTTTAGTATTTTGTTATATTTTATTTTTTTATTATTTTAGTATTTTATTATATTTTATTCGGAGTATTTCTCTACAGATATATGTTGCACAGGTTACATTTTGATATATCATCAGAATTTTTCTACGCCCTTAAAGTTTTTTTCTTTTTTTGGATCAATACAAATTTTAATGTTTACTAATGTCTCTATTAGTTCCTTAACTCTTCTTTTTTTGTAGTCCAAGTTAGGTAAGATTAATTTATACTGTATTTTAAAAAATATTTATTCTTTAATGTCTCTAGAGAATTACGTATTTGAATATTGTGACATTTGTGCTAACATTCTTATCTCCTGCCAATATTGGGATTTTGTTCCCTCTACAAAAAAAAAAAAAAAAATCAATGCTGACTCCAATGCATAATTTCTTTACTAACTATAATAAATGAAAAACACATTTTTTCTGTAAAATCTTGTATAATGACAATTTCTTATATTTACTAGGAACTAATTATTTTTTATTTTTATGTTATATTTTCTCCATTAGACTTTTCATAATTTAACTAACATATACTTTTTGATTTGAAGAAGTAAACAGGTATAGATAGTAGCAAAGCCTTTAATACATATGTATACAATAAGAAATATTAAAAAAAATTTCAAGGAAAGGTCAACATTATGAGGAGAACAAGTGCTCTGAAAGAGTTGACTTTGAATGTTCAGCCTTTCAACATTTTTGCATCTTCATGTTAAAATCTAATATATGTTAATTTTAAGAGATGTAAAACATTTTCATCTCAAATGGAATCTTTGACTTGATATTCTTCCTTTCTTTTCTTTTCTTTTTTTTTTTTCCCTCCAATTCTGGGGATCACACTCAGGACCTTGAACTGTCAAGGCAGACAGCACCACTGATTTAAATCTCTAGCTGTTTGATTTGATATTCTTTACAGGAATAAGCATATTATTATATTG